TCAAGGGTTGAAGCCACTTAAATAATTTAATTAATATTTAAAAAAATAAGTAAAGACTCTTGAAATAAATACAAAATTAGAATAAAGCTAATAAGAATTTAGCATGAACGAAAATCCGAAATTATATTTAATAAAATAATAAATAATTAATACACAAAAAAAAAATTAAACGCTCAAATTTTACATTAAATCTTTACATATTTTTTTACACTGCATGATGAAAATAGTTTAAAGTTGGACCGAAGCGTTCAATTTTCTTATGTATTATTACTTATTATTTTATCAAATATAACTGAACATTGTCGCGTTAGATTCTTCTTAGCTTTATTCTAATTTTGAATTTAATTTAATATTTATAAGAATACATATTTATATAATATTTAATCAAATATTATTAAAGTTCTTATTCTTATCTATATTATTATGAATATTCGAATAAAGAATTTATTTAATAATGCAAGTTTTTGTAATCAATACACGCATTAAATAAAAAAAATCTACATTTAAACAGTTAATAACTTAAACAATAATTTCTTTTTTGGACAAACAATTAACAGGTTTATACCAATTTTTTTGTATAACAATTTAAATTTTGTATAAAATATTTGAAATTAATTTTGAGATAGATAATTCAACAATAGATGAATACGCATTTCTGTATTAATAAAATAATAATCGATTACAATAAGAAAGAGGATCTGGATTAAATCTGTGATACATTCGCGCGGCTTCTTCAGGAACAACAAATTTGTCGAGGAAATTGAATTAAAATATATAACTACATTGAGAAAAAAAATTTAATAAATTTTGAAAAATATTTCTTTGAATAGTCCTAGCGGAATATTTATTAAATGTAAACATATATTTATTAGATACAAGAACCATTAGTTTGATTTAACTATATTCTTTATTTATCAAAATATTTATTTATCATAAGTAAGAGAGTTAGATAAATAAAAAAATACATCCGCTAAAACTATTCAAAGAAATATTTATGAAAATTTAATCTCAAAATTATCATAAATTTTTTCTCAGTGTAACATATATACATATTTATTGTTGAATTACAAGCGATTAGCTATCTGAACGAAAAAAAACTGTTTGTCATTGCCACTTGTTGATTATCGGTAGAATTTTTTCGAATTCGTGCCAAATGCCAAATCATAATTTGCACTGTTAATTTATTCTTCCTAAACCGATCAGGCGATCCATAAATGCTCAAAATTATAGTGTGAATACAATATTCATGCGGGTTTGCGCAATAAATAGTAGATGTCTAAAATTATCACATGTTTCTTGAACGCGACATATTAGTCGGCGTCTCGCGCATACATTATTTGCTCATTAGCGGCAATTCGCGCGGGCAGGTTTTTTGTTCAAATAAAAATGTTACTCACTGATAAAGTTGAAATGTCTTCGGGCTGGCATTTATGGAGGCGGCTACGGGACCGATTGTAGCCACTGCTATTTGCAGAGCTTTTTCGTCCCGTGCCGGTAGAATTGCCCATGAAGTTATATTGACAACACTCTGGTCCTTCTCAAATCTGCATTCCCCTTGCTAGAATAATTTGAATTACAAACGTAAATTATTTAACTTATTATGAAATATTACATCATACTACTATTACATTATATATTACTATATACATTAATAATTATAATTTGGGAACATTTGTAATTTTCTCGTATTTTACGAAGAGTTGAGAGAATAATTCTAATTTGGAAGGCAATAAATTACATGGAATTCTTTTGAAAGAAATAGGTTACTATAGTAATATAAAACTTTCTTAGACTTTATTTACATACAAAATAAATATTTAAAAATATTTTCCTGTCCTATATATCCATGTTCTTAAAAAAATTTTTTTTCAAAATTTGGACTATTTTCCAACATGTATGTGTATTATTACGTATATCTCAGATAATGTCGATAGAACCAAATAATTTTAATGAATGATATCTTCAAATTTGACAATGTACGCAGGGTCTAAAAAAGTTATTTTAAAGCTTAGAAAGTCTACTTTAAAACATTTGTTTATTCTTATGCGTAGATTTTTATGCATTAAGTTATAACGCTTCAAAATAAAACAAAAATACTGAAAAATATCAATTTTCAATTTTATGCAATTTAGCATCAAAATATCACAGAAATAAAACTAAAAAAGTAAATTTATAACTCTATTTTTTCTCTTTATTAAAATAATTTTTTGGAAATTTCTTTATTGTTTTTTACCCAGTTATTTAACTTTTCGTAAGATACAAGAAAATTGTAAGCAAACCATAATTTTGGTGTGTGTGTGTGTAAATATATATAATATATTTATATATATATTTATATATAATATATTTATATATATGTATATAGTACATATATATCAATAACAAAAATATATTATATCATAGTAACCTAACTACTTTTAAAAAGTTTTATTTTGGTGTCATAGCATCAAATTGTCGTAACAAAACTGTTATTTTTAAAATGTTTAAGCATTTAAAAAATAAACTTTTGTTTTCAAAATTTAGTTAAGATTCACTTTATCATGACTTACTATTGGAAATTATCAAGGTTATTATTGAAGTAGCTATTTCCGTTGATATTGCTAACATAAACTGATTATTATAAAAATATACAAAGTTATCTAATTTCCGAGTATATGTAAACATGATTGAGATTTGTTAAAAGAAACATGATGGGACAAAAAATATAGATAACTTTCGAGGAAAACTAGGACAGTGTTACGTCAGTCCATTTAGCAACACTGAATGAGTTTCATTCTTGATCAAAGTAGTAAACATGCACAAAGAATATCAAAGTGTCAACAGAATATGTAATATCGTTTATACATAATTCGAAGAAATGAATTTAATAGGAAAAGATTGATAATCAAAATTCGAGAGAATTTTGTATATTAATCTTTGCTGACACTATTAAATTGGAGCATATCAGTCATACACGCTTGGTTGCATCATCTGAACTTCGTATTCATAACATCGTAGTTTTAAATTAAGTCAACCAGATAAACGCGTTTACTTCTTATTACGAGCAAGAGTAATAGCTGCACACTTTCTTAAAATTCTATGACACATTTGGCTCTTGCACTGCTCACTCGTATAAAGTAAAGTATATTTACTATTAATAGAGGAGCTTGGAGAGCCATCGTCACGGAGCCATTCATATTATAGAAGTTTATCGCGTTAACGTGACTAGCATAATTCAGATTCTCCTAGTCAAAATCTTCCATAAATTTTCTGACATTTTTGATTGGTGGACATCCGCGAAATAATGGAAGAAACCTTGACGTTTACCTCTTTATTGCGATAATTAAATTCGCACTGTCAGCACCTTCGCTCGTACTCGCTAATAAAGCATTATTATGTATTATGGTCACAGTAAAAATCCCGAAAATTAAATTTCTTAATTCGTTATTATTAATTTACAGCGCTGTTATTCTATAAATTTTTACGACTTACATTGTCGATAAAAAAAATTTATGTGCTTATTAGTAAGGATTTTATTAAAAATAAGAATGCAGAAATTCTCTTTAAACTTCAAGGTTTAAACTTTTAAAAGATGCCGAACATTTTGTAATGCTCTACAAATGTGAAAGCAATTCGAGAGTTGCATTTTATAAACGGATGCCCCGACGGAATATCGTGTATGTCGTATGTCCGACAGTTGGAAAATGTAATGCGTACCTCGGCGTCGTAGGGATACGTGGATCTAGCCATGAGACCTTTAGACTTTTCCAAATATTTTAAAGTGTTCCTGAGGGAACCGCCGGTGCATCCGAGGTTTCCAGTTATCGTGCTGCAATCTACCAACTGTTGTGCGCTCACAGGTAGTAGCATGCCGGTTTGTTTAAAAATCTGTCCTTCTATACTTTCCGCGATCGAGTAAGCGTAACAACTCCCGCAGCTTCGTTGATTCACCGGTGAAGTGACGAAACCGTATTTACGCCAATCCAAACTTGTTGGTATATTGTGAGAATCCCTCTGTGCTCCCGATACTATCGGTTCGGTTGGCAGTCGACGTCTTCGACTTGGTATCAGTTTCACCTGACATGAAAGAAATTGATAGAAAGAGATATTGTTAAAACAATTTTAGTATTGTTCATATTTCGTAATAAAATATTTATAATATTTGTGATAGAGATTTAATATTAATTATTTGAAGAGCAAAGAAAATATAGAGAAAGAGGGATAGATAGATATATAAAAAAGTTTATTAATATTTCAGGACAAGCCTTTTATTAAAAATCATAAAAGAATGACAAATACATAAAAAAATAAAAGAGAAAAAATGCTAATAAAAATAATACAATGAAACAAAAATACAAAAATAAAAACAATAAAGATAAAAAATTATGAATAAAAGAATCGAAAAGATAATAGAAAAAGTAAACGAAAGAGAGAGAGAGAGAGAGAGAGAGAGAGAGGGGGTGTTAAAGAATTAAAATTAATGATTTGTAACAATCAAAACTTGATGAATGAGCTGTGCAATTAATTACAAACCATTTCGCGCATGTATTGTCGAGTACTGAGATCGGCAATATGATTATCCCGCAGTGTATAACTATGATGCCCTGCGGCGGCCAATAGATTGTGCTTATAAATTTCCACGAGATTCTGCTCCCAAGCCATTCTTCTGGCGTTTTCCAGATTTTTTGCGTATATCTTATTAAACTGCGTCTGCTCAAATAAAGCATGTTCTGCATAATATATCTTGAACGAGATTGATCTAATAAACTCATCCAAAGGATATAGAGCTTTCGCAACTGTATTTATAAAACATATGTTCCTATTATTACGTAATTACGTCTTGATTTTAATTTTAAATTAGGATTGAATTGCAGTATCTCTCTTAATATTAATTAATATTAATGTTAAGAATATTAACGAATCTATAGATTAATTTTATTATTGTATTGTAATAATTAATTAGTGTCAAATAGAATGTGTTTTATTATATCATATTAATATTTGATATACTGACTATTAAAAAATAATATAATTAAAAAAAATTTTCGTTACATCACGTATAAATATTCTCAAAAATTGTTGTTTAAAAATCAATTCATAATTACATAATTTTCACAAATAGGAATAAAAAATTACGAGATCAGTTTTTAATTTAAAACAATTTAATCAATAGAGAGAATAAAAAAAAAATTAACAGATTCATAAAATCAGCCTCTCGAAATATTCTTATTTTAAGGATATGTTACCTTGTAGGCTTTCCAATAATCATCGAGCTTTTCCGAGATTTTCGGCGGTAAGGTATCCCCATTGAAAGCCTGAATCGCGAATGCCCTAGGCAAGATTAATATTGAAAGCAGCGTCGCACATAATCGCGAGCACATGGCGACGCGCGGCGAATAATTTACAGTCCTTAATTAATTCGCGCAACAGACCCAAGTGGTTAACTATCTTGACGTACCTTACGATACTGCATGAGGTCATAACGTGTAGTAACGATCAGTGTCAGCGCATTCTGTGAATTACATCATCGGACAGTTGCTCACGTTATGCTGATGTATGTTTATTTGGTCAAATAATAATTATTTTATATTCCATGTCATGTTTTTCGTTGGCGTCTCTACTTTAAATGCTCGTATTTGTGTCGCGTTTTGGTACAGATAACTAAACAGTTCTTATTGTTAGAATAGTTATTATTTGGAAATAGTTTGCGATTATTACAATATATTACATAATATGAAACAATTTGAATAATCGAATGTGTTTTTCTATTAATTTGAGAGGCTTTTTGTTTTACCAAAACAACGTTATTAAAATATAATACTTTACATACACTATTACATAATTTAATTGATCAAATGTATCATACAACAATTAACTAATTGATTCGAAGAAAATAATCAACAAAAATGATTTTTTAATATCAATATGACATGCAAACAAATATCTTATTACAGATATTTTTATTCACAAATTGTAAAAAAAAAAGAATTTGTAAGAGATATGGCTTGATTAGTTTTTTATAAATTACTCCCTGTACACACGTTATTTATAGAATAAATTATATCAAATATTATTAATATTTTATGTCTACAGCCTATATTAAACTATAACATCTGACATAAAATAACCTCTATATGCCTCTATATGCCTCTACTAAACTTTACAATAGATTTTTCAAAAAAGTATCTTACATAACTTAAAGGAGAAAAATTATATAAGTTTTTAGCTCCCGCCAAAATGATATTTTAAATAAATTTATAATGACTTTTGTCAATAAATTACTGAAATGAAATATCGCTTTTTATTTGTAATATAAATCTCGAAAAATATACGAGAACAAATATAAATATTTGAAATAAAGGAACTTGATGAGAGTATCTATTAAGTGGAAAACTATAATCCATAATTATTGTTGTCGTTAAAGCTACAAGATTATGAGCCTGGAAATTACGAAAATGCATCATAGAACATAGGATTTTTAATAATTTAATAAAACGCAAGCACCTCAACAGAAAAACATGCTCGCTGGCTTTATAGGCTGGTTCACGTTGCGTACAATCTCCAAAAATTTTGCACTTAAAATGGGATAAATAAATATATATTCGAATATTAAAGAGAGAGAAAAGCGAAGCTACTAATTGTAAATGCGAAAAGTGCAAGCAACGCGAAGCAGAGAGCGACTTATTGGTTTACCATTTTAAAGAATGCCGCCGGTCGGCACGTGTCCGCGAGATGGCGGCAGTCGGTAAGTCAAACGCCGCCGCTGTCGCGAAACCTCCGCGATGCTCCCGGCGGCTGGACGGTCCGCGTAGTACCGATACGCGCGCGCGTCACGCTCGTCTCGTTGCGCTGTCCCGGGTGTTCGCGTTCGCGGTTCGTCTTCTCACGAAAACCGTCGCGTTGTCGTTCGTCGTCGCCGTCGTCATCATCCGCGCGCCGTGATAAATCGCCGTGATAAATCGCGCGCGCGAATTGGGGCGATGGAACACGCGCCGCAGCTAAGCAGGAACGTCACGGATCCGCGCACGCGTGCATGCGCGGCCGCCGTCGCGAATGCCAACAACTCGCGCGAGAACTCTTGACACTCGCGTAAAATGGGAGTTTCTTCGCGGTGCTTGTGATTTATATATATATAAAAAAAAAAAATAAAGGCGCGCCGTGATCCATCTCCCATAATACATATCCTCCTCCCGCATCCTTTTCTCCCAAAAGAAAAATCTGTTCGCTGTCCGTTTCGTTTGTCGTGACTTTTTCTACAACGCGTTTCTCGTCCAGAACGTTCTCCCTTTTCTCTGTGTTTCTTTCTCCACTTGGCATCATATCTCTGTTTTATCACGCGTCTCACGTCCTCCCAGCAGCCCCAAGCGCGGTGCCCCGAAACTTCGGAATACGCGCGTTCACCGGCGGCGCGCGAGCGGCTCATCGACGCGCGGTACATTCGAAGCGCTGCGACAATGGACGAGTCCGGGATTGACATGGGCTTCGATCTGACGGCAGCATTCGCCGTCGCAGACCCGATTGCCCACCATGTCTCCGTCGCGGATTACGACGACGAGTTTGAGCAGGCCCTCTCCCTTCTGTCGACCTCGACCAAGGAGCTGATGTACTACGAGCTGAAGAGCCGCGCGCCTGACACCGGCAGGTACGTCAATTCTGGCGCCGATGGTATCTCGAAACAAATTTCGTTTGATCAAACACATGTAAACGAGATAACGAGGTGTGTTCTGTTTGACATTGACATTGTTACGACGGTAATGGTAGCAAAATCATTAACTCTAATAGCAATTTATTGGCGATATTTTGGTTAAACGTGAAGATATATATATTAGCCAAATATTGGGCTAATATTTGAGCAATTATGGCAATAATTGTGCTATTAGAGTAATATTCTTGATATTATTAACAATGAGATTCGATGAATTAATATTAATGCTAATGTTACACACACACACACACACACACACACACACACACACCACACGCACACTATACATGTGAGTTGAAGAAACACGGCACACATCTTTAAGAAACGTCCTAAGTACGTCCAGGACGTCTCTATGTTCTCTGAACGTTCTAAGGATGTTCTCAGGATGTTTCTCAGATATGTGATATGGGATTCCAGACAATATAGTTTACAATCGGAACATAAAACGTTTTTAAGTTTTCTTTGAAACGATGTAAACATGTCTACAAGAATGTTATTGTACGTCTTATATCGTGATTTTAAACTTTGTGTTATCTACTGGAATGCTATAATTAAGAAGGAATATAAATTACTTGTATTATATCAATCATAATTATCGGACGTAAATTTTATTCAACAGTTATATATACAACAGTTAGGCGGGATACGTATACACATATACATATATACGTGTATTGATATACAAACAAAAGGAGTCGGATAACTCCGGTTCTACAGCTCATGTGGGAGTATATACGCGCGAGAGATGCTTTTATTTGGAATACGATATCGCAAGGCTGTAGTATGCGAACGACTATAAAGCCGTATGAGAGATACGGAGACTTCATTACGATTTGAAGAAGATTTTAGACCTTCAATAGAGTAATTTATTTAATCAGAAAGAATAAAGTGCCAATCAAGGGCCAGCATTAGACGTACGCGTGTGCGTCACATATTCTTTATATAACAATTAATTTAGATGTTTCGACTCTTCATTTATTTAAGGCATGTATGTGTTTCGATTTTAATAGTAAATATGCATGGGCAGCATTATGCGATAAGAAAAAAATTGTAAAAGTTTTAAAATATAAAATTACATAATATTTGAGTGTTTCAGTTAAGTTCTAAATACTTAAAGTTTGTGATATTAATGTGAAAGAATTTAAATCTAAGTCTTCACGAATGTGAAACTTGGAATTGTACTTTAAACAAATTTTAAACAACAATAATAATATTACATCTCGATCTGGGATTATTCGGTTTCAGCTATATCTTATTGTTAGTACTCAATTAATATTTAAGTGTTTAGTGAATTTATTTAATGTACATATTCAGTTTTCTAAATTATGCGCTGATTTAATTTTCGATTTTGAATCGCAATTTTAAACTGAAACTATGATAATAATGTCATAAATTAAATTGTCAATTTAATGATATTGACATTAATAAACAGTTTAAAGAACTGCAAACAATTTATTGCAAAAAATATGACCTCATCCAAAGATCAGATATTAACGTGTACATATTAATCTATTATTAAAATTGAAGAAAATTTATATATATATATATTATCTGCTGGAAGTGATATTTTAATAGTTATATCATTGATCGAAAACGAATCAGAATTTTTTTGTTAAACTTATTAGAATTCTAGTTGAGATACCGGAATTCTGGTTGATGCAATATTTCTGGTAAAATCTATTAAAATTTTTATTTTTACCACAGTAATTATCAGAATTCTATGTTATCTCAACTAGAATTCTAGTACATGTAATCAGAAAAAATTCTGATTCATTCATTTTACCACCAGAATTACTATTTAATCCAGCTAAATCGTTTTTTTCGGTAATTGTTCAACTTGTCATAACAAGCCGAAGCCGCGATCTTCAGTAAACACGCGCATGAAATCATGTGGTTTTTATAACGAGAAATTTATAAGATTACATCGTGTGCAAATGATAACGATGCTATTTATAAACGAATTTGTACACTGAAAAAATATAGCCAATTTTAATCAATATTTAGTTTAATTCTGCCAACTAAACATTTGCTTATATAGTAAATAAATATTTGTTCAATAAAAAAAATAATTGTTAAATCAAATTAATGGTTTTAGTATCAAATAAATATATCTTTATATTTGATAAATATTTAGTTGATAATATTCAACTAAATATTTATTTTAAAATTGTCTATATTTTTTTCAGTATTATGTATGTGTTCTAGAATTTCATTATTAATTGAATTTTGATTAAAATTTAGTTAAGAAAGAAAAGGAAAGACAGAGAAACTATTTACATTTATCATATAAGAGAAGAGTCATGTCAACTGTATAATAAAATTATTAAATATATATATATATTTTTCAACGATTTTATTTCCGCTCTCTTACATGATAAGTAGAGTCGATGGATATTTGATGTGCATCAGCGCATCAAATTAAATTTAGTTAATTAAAGTAATTTAGTTAGTTAAATTTATCAATTCGTATATTCTACATAGGGAGTAAAATGCGTGTACCGTTTACGTTTATTACAAAAATTAGCAACTTGTCATTTGCAGTTCTTGATATTTTTAATTTACATAAGCTTTGAAAAAAATAATTAATAACGAATTTTTGTAGGTGATATATGTAAAACGTAAGAGTTAGGCAGATACACTTTTTGAAAAAAGATTTTTTTAACGTTCGATATTCGATAGATAACAGTCTATCGCTTGAAGCGAGACCCACATATGTGTCTACATACTGCGTACAGTAAAAAATAAAAGAAATTCCTATTCCAATTTTGAGTGCAAAATCGAATCAAATCCAATCAAACCTTGCACGTGTTCGTTTTTGACAAGAATCGAAACGTGTCGGGGTAATAACTACAAAAAATGCAGTAGCTATGCCATATATATATATATATATATATATATATATCTTTCGGTGACATGAAAATAAAAGTGAACAGATTGAAAAAAATAGATCAAAAAAATAAAAAAACCTTTCCAAGTAATTTTTCTGACTCTACTGTTACACTTTGAACGGCGCGGACTGCGTTTCTTATGATCGGGCTTTTAAATGGCGTTTAAAGGTCGTTAGTCATGAATCTATCAACGAGACGGCGCATATAAAGGCATCTCGTTCATTCAAACAGATTCGCGAGCAATAGCAGTGATAAACGTTCGTAATTGGTAATCGTGATCTTCAAGGAAAACACGCACTCGTCTCCGCTTTGATTAACGATCTGTGCATCTTGTATACCGATATTAGATTCTCGAGTACCAGCGATCTGCTGGGCTTTACGATGAAGTTACCACGAATATCAACTTTCACAGTCTCTGAGAGTTTGCTCGGGGTGTTCAAATTGCATCCGAAAGTTCTCGCGCCTAATCAGCTTCATCCGCTAGGCGTTAATTGATTCCTATGGAGAAAGCAACATGAGCTTAAGCTAAAATTTAAATTGTGTATAGGGTAGACGCTGCACTGAATGATCGTCTAAGCCCTTTTCCTACCAATGTAAGTTAACTTTAATTTTGATTTAACTTACTTTTTATCTTTTTTTATATAGTTCTTAGACGAGGATAAAGAGTAAATTAAACCGAGACAAAAGTTAATTTTGAGAGATATAGGCATAAATCTGCAGTGCGCAATCTGTCGGTTCATAGCCGAAAATACAAAATTATACTTATTTTATGCAAACGAAATATTATGCGGTTCGTAAAATTTTATCTTTCTAAAAATGGCTTTTTAAAAATGACTTAAAAAGGATGTGCATCACTGATTGAAGGAATGTTGCTAAAATTAGCCTTTACAAATTTTGTTGTAAGATGAGAATATTATTTTGCATATTTATATAATAAAAAATCAAATAAATGTTAATCTTGCATTATCGATTTTAGTAATTGACAATTTATTGTTTACTATTTCGTTCATGATGTTGATCTCTCGCAATGATCTACGACACGATACAGTTTACGTGACACGAACGGCATATTGATCATCTTCAGATAACATTATGAGTACATCAGTACATGACATGCATCACTGTAAACGTATAATAATAATTTCCGGCTGATATACTGGAAGAGGTTTAATCTTACATCAATAATCTTTCGCAAAATAATGGAATGTGTATTTAATTGTCGTTAACAATAAATCATCATAGCGAATGTCATTAAGCATCGCGAGAACAACACATAATGAATGCTTTGTTACTCGGAAAATATAATCGTGCGAAAAAAAGGATCGAGTTGCAATACAAATACATATTGCAAATATTAGATAATGTTAGACAAATGGGAGTTAAAAAAAATAGAAAAAAGAAGAGAGAGAGAAAAAGAGAAGAGATACAGGGAGGCATTAATAAAAAGAAGAGGCATTAATAAGTCGTTTTACGGATCATTATCTTCGGACGTCATCTCGCGAAGTATCTAGATAGGCTCGACCTTCGGTTTTATTGCGTCCATGTCTAGATTGCGGAAGGTAGGGGATTTCGAGAGATCAACGATGTCCTCGATAGAGATCAATCAGCAAAAGTAGAAGGGAAGTACTATTTCATAAGTACGTTTGAAGAATAATCTCCGTTTACTCACGGAACTCCGACGTGGAAATAGTTTGGGAGATAGATATGTGCGCATTTTTGATATGTTTCGTTTGATGCGTAGCCAGAAGAAGAACGGAAAAATCAAAAATTTCGAAATATCTCCAAATTTCTGGGAGAACACTTAATAAAAAAGAGAATATTTTATTATTTGTAAGTTATTATTATTTTTATAGTTGGGTAATTGAAAAGAAAGTTACATATACATATATTATCAGATTAGCTTTACTAATTGATTCTTATATACCTACATTAACAATAAATCTTCATGGCGAATATATCATTACGCCGGAGGACAATGACATAATGAATGCTTTGTTACTCAAAGCAATACAATCGTGCAAAACAAGATATCGAGTTGTAATATAAATA